CCCTCTCACGTACAGCCTCTCTGCCACGTGTTCGAAATGTTCTCAGACAGTCTCTTCAATTGGGACTGTACAAAGCTCACTGTCCCTCACTGCGGATACCGGTTGGGGTGGGAGTTTAAGTCATCAAGTGACACATGAGGACAAGTTTTCCTTTCTCTGCTATTTGTTTATTGCTCTTAGAATGATTCATTTACACTTGGTTTTTTACCCCACCCCTGTCTCTGACCACAGAAGAGATTCCAGTGTTCATGAACTGAGCCTAGCTAGCTCTTAATCCTTCTGAAGGCTGCTGCTCCCGTCATTTTACAAGTCTCTTTATTCATTCATTCCCCCTGGAAGGTAAAGAACAAAGAGAGAGAGAGAGAGAGAGAGAGAGAGAGAGAGAGAGAGAGAGAGAGGAGAGAGAGAAGAAAAAAGCCTGTGTACAAGTTTGGATAGATTTAGTGACCAGTTTTGAAATATGGAATTTTTTGTAACTCTGTAGCCCCAAAAGATTGTACCTCTTACCGTCAGGGCTTAAAAGAAGCCCATTCATCAAGGAAACATTCATCTCTTTTGGCACATACCCTCTCTCTCATCACCTGCTTCTGACACTGTTTACAGCTATACTGGTGGTAGCACACACTGAGCCATGCAGCAGAGAGGATGGCAAGCCTGGCAGGCCTCTGTGGAGAGTAGCTAGGGCATGGAATGTTTTCCCCGATATAGATTTCGAGCAAGCCCCTGTGACGTTGCTGATGTAGGTGCATACACATACAATGTTCCATGCTCTAGGATTTCAGTTTGCCAATATCTAGCTACTTCTTGACCCGGTATATAGCAGGGGTGTAGTTGCATACACAGTTGCTAACCCACCAGTGAGAGTAAGATTCTATCACAATTTGAGCCAACTTTGAAGATAACTTGATTTTTATTGGGGTGCACCCAAGAGCTGGCCAGCGACTGCCTCCGAAGTCAGGTTAAAGAGAGCAGCCCCAAATCGCTTTCTTGGACCCCTTTTAAGGAGTAAAATCAAGAGTAATTGCAAAGTAGGTTTAGATAAGAGAGACAATGGGGCAATAAATAAATGCAGAAAAAAATCAAAAGACATGTGGTTACCATGTGGTTAGGGAGGGTTCAGAGATTGTCAGGGAGGGTGGAGAGTCAGGAAGGGTAAGGATGTTCTATAAAACAAATCAAGATCATGGTTGGGGAAGGTCAGGTTCCAGGAAACAGAGAGAACACAGCTCTTACAGTAAATAGAAACTTAATTTTAACAAAACATATAATTGCTCCTGATTTTAAAATGGAGTCACGGAGGTTCCTTAGAGTGTCACTGAATTTTGGGTACTTTGAGAAAATTAATTAATTTTTTAAATTCTTTAAATTGACAGATTATAGCTGTATATCTTCACAGAGTGCAGGAGGATAATTTTGTACATTTCTACATTGAATAGCTATCAGATATTTATAAATAGTCCAGATGTTTAACATTTATCATTTTTTCATGATAACAATAGTCAAAATCCTGTCTTTTAGCTGTTTCAGGCTACCTGGTTTACAATTCATGTGACTGCAATCACTCCTATATACAGTAGTATATGTAATATTTGATTTATTCTGTCTGGCTGTCGCTTTGCAATCTTGAACCGGGTCTTCCCCCTCCAACCCTCCAAGCTTCTGCTGCAGATTATCCTGCTCTCTATTTCTGCAAGTTCGGCCTTTTTAGATTCCACATTCTTGTCATTTGTGAGAGTTGCAAAAAAATGAATAACATGTTTATTTTAAAGCGTGTCTGGATATATATGAATCTGGAAGAGATTCTAAAAGTGCCAGACAATTGAATCTCGCTAGTCATGTGGCAAGGCTAACTTCATCTTAGATGCCTGTGACCATCTAAGGACAGAGGTTGTGAGAACATGGAGGGACAGCAAGGACAAATGGGGATGTCTCTCTCTCTCATCCAATAGCAAAAACAGTCAATGGACATTCAGACTCTATGTCCAGTTCTTCACAGATCAACAAGCTGTTACTCACACCCCGCACATTTTATGTACAAAGTATGTTCCTACTACTCTCTGAATGATTCTGGGTACGTCTCCTGCCTATGTATAAGTTCGGCCCTTTAGACAGAGTTACAGTATCCCATCCCAAAGCAGATGTGATGGCCCAACTTCAATTCCAAAACTGGGGAGGTCGAGGCAGGTACATCTCTGGGAATTCAAGGTCAGTCTGGCCTACCTAACGAGTTCAAGACCCTCTGGAACTATGTAGTGAGATCCTATTGAAAATCCCAGTTGTCGATGAATTTGATAGATTTGATGCTTTTGCCATCGCGTGTGACACAAACATCCTTTATAGCTCCTCAGTTTACTGGGGTTTGATTTTGCTGTGGGCATATGTGATGACTTGACACTTTTGGCAATGCTACGTAATGGCTCTTTTCTGTCATCGGTGAAAGTAGACACTAGTTTACCCAGAATAAATTCTATGCATTATGTTTTACCTCAGTGCTTTAAAATTCTCTTTGTAAATATCTATGCATTATTACATAGCTTTTATTATTGTCTCATCAAAACCTTGAGTGTCTAATCTGTTCCATTCTTCAGTAAACAAACTCCCAAAATAAAAGTATTTTCCTTAAAAATCCTTACCTTATGGATGATAAGCATTCATAAGGAGAGTTACATTTTTTTTTGGCTGGCTGCCAGAATTTTATCACTAGAAAATTGCTTTTGATTTGAGTAAGTCATCTACAGCTTTTAATGAAGCTTTTGAAAAAGTACCTTTTAATTTTCTTACAGTTGAATTCTCTGTATAACTTTAAAAAAATTTGTGTGTGTGTGTAAATGCACTGAAAGTTAATCAAAAAAAATTTCCCTTCCTACAGACTATCTTTCTTTCTATCTAATAGAACTTGATATTTCTAGTTTCAGTGAAAATGATGTGTATATTTTCTCTTAAGGCACCCAAACTAGTTGGTTTTGTTTGTTTTTTTTTCTTTTTCTTTTTGTAAAATACATACAACACTAAAAACAACATCTTAAGCCATTTTTCATAGTATTTTTATTGATTATTTGGAAACTTCACATCATAAACCTTGAGCACATTCACTTCTCAGTCCTCCAGGTCTGTTCCCTCCACCTTTTAAGCCCCTCCCCCCAAAAGAAGAAATAAAACACAAACAAATAAAATAACAAATAAACCAAGTCCAATTGGTGTTGCTCGTATACTCACCGGCAGTACTTTGGAGAAGGTAGGAATTAGTAGGGACGTGAGATATATCTCATGTGAGCCCCTTTGTAGTTCTTAAGAGAAGGTTGTAAAAGACTCAAGCTTAGCTGTCCCTGTTCCCTTGTCTTTTCTGCCCCTGCTCAGCATCTAACTTCTTCCTTTTAGTCAGACTTTTTCATGGGGACCAACAGCTCCACGGTAATGACATGGAGACTTATTACTAATTATAAAATCTCAGCTGATAGCTTAGGCTTGTTTTTAGCTAGATGTTATAACTTAAATTAACCAATTCTACACAACTTTACATTGTTCATTAGTTGACCACTGTAGGTTTTTTGTTTGTTTGTTTTTTTACTCTTTGGAGGCCCAGCTCACAAATGGATGGAGACACAATCTTACTTATGAATACCTGGTCTTAGCCTGGCTTATGTCTAGCCAGATTTTCTTAAATTATCCTGTATACCTTTTGTCTCTGGACTTTTACCTTTCTCTATTCTATATGCCTTTCTTTCTTTCTTACTCCGAGACTGGTTGTGTGACTGTGTGGCTGGCTTCTGGTGTCCTCCTCTCCTCTTTCTTCATTCTCTCTGCCAGCCAGCCCTGCCTGTTTCTCTCTCCTGCTTAACTATTGGCCCCCCCCAGGTCTTTATTAGACTAAGCATGTGGTTTAGGCAGGCAATGTAACACAGTTTCATAGAGTTAAACAAATGAAATATAAAAGAATGCAACACATCTTTGCATCATTAAACAAATATTCCACAGCATAAAAGAAGGTAGCACATCTTTAATATTCCACGACAGACCACTTGGGTTTCATTCAGTTCTTTAATGTCTACGTTTCAGTGGTAGCAGGTCTACCTGTCCTGATGAGAAAAGCAATAACATATACCTCTGGGTAAGTTACGAACAGAGGCAGATGTGGTCAGAAGACAGCAAATGGAAGTCAGTTCTCTCCTTCCATAACTTAGGTTCAGGGACTGGACTCGTCTTCAGGCTTGGCCACAGGTGCCTTTATACAGCTAAGTTCTTTTGCTTTCTCCCAAGCTTTTTAAAAAAGACAGTATCTAAATCTTTTGGAATGATTTTCCCTCCTTTGAATAGTGCCTAGCTAGCTATCTGATAACCTTGCATTCTAGCCTTCCCTAGTCTCTCAGCTACAGTCATTTAACCAGATACCCTTCATTTCACAAACTGTTTAGCTTGAAAAGCAAAGCATTGCTGTATTTTTAAAACTTCTCAGTGGAAGGGGGAAATCATGCTTCAGGCTGTAATTTGAACAGAACACATTTTTGTGTCTTTGGTATTTGCTAGAAGCAAACAGCATAAAGGAAGTCAGAAAGGGAAGGATTTGCAGAGAGGATTCAGCCAAGAGATAAGCTTCATAAAGGCTTTGTTTTGCAGATGCACCGGCCTCCTGGTTTCCTGCTGTCTTTGAGCTCTTGCTCACATTTCTGGCTGAATGAAAGTAAACTTCTAGTGACCTCTGATTTCAAAGAAATGCCAAATTAATGAAAGATCATCATCATTGGTCATTTTTTAATTTAAAAGGGGTTTGGAAGAGGGAAGGAGTTCTCCAGGTATTAGATTTTAAAAAGTCCAACTCTGTTTAAAGAAGTTCAATACATTTGCCCTGGAGGAAACTTGCTAGGAAGAAATTCTGCTTCCATGGGGTCCAGGAGTGGCTCTGCCACTTTGGTGTGCATCACATGTCTTGTCTCTTAGCTTTTCCGAGTGAGCTCAGTGCGCCATGCTGACCTCCCCCTTTCCTTCCTGTCTCCCGTCTGCAGGTCACCTATCTGGGGAAAGTCTCTACCACAGGCATGCAGTTTTTATCTGGCTGCACGGAGAAGCCGGTCATTGAGCTCTGGAAGAAACACACTCTGGCCCGAGAAGATGTTTTTCCAGCCAATGCCCTCCTAGAGATCCGTCCATTCCAAGTCTGGCTTCATCACCTTGACCACAAAGGCGAGGCGACCGTGCACATGGATACCTTCCAGGTGGCTCGCATCGCCTATTGCACAGCTGACCACAACGTGAGCCCTAACATCTTCGCCTGGGTGTACAGAGAGATCAACGACGACCTGTCTTACCAGATGGACTGCCATGCCGTGCAGTGCGAGAGCAAGCTGGAGGCCAAGAAGTTGGCGCACGCCATGATGGAGGCCTTCAAGAAGACTTTCCACAGTATGAAGAGTGATGGGCGGATCCATAGGAGCAGCTCATCTGAAGAGGCTTCCCAGGAATTAGAATCTGATGATGGCTGAAGGAACTTGAGATGTTCCAGTGAAGGCAGCATTTGGGCAAGGAGTTTCAGAAGACAGATGCATCTGCAATGATTCAAATTTGGTATGAAAAGACTGCCAAAACTCTTGGCTGACCATGCTTTTTAAATTCAGAAGAGCAATTCTAAATCTAAAGAAATGTATCATTAATTACGTGACATTGATATCTGCTGCTGCTGTGCCCATGAGGAGAGTGGGCGTGTGGACGAGGAGGAAAGTTCCAGACTGTCTTCTTGGGTTTTTCTCCTATTTCAACACTTCCGGGTGGGAGATCTCCATGCCTATTTTCACCATTCTCAGGCAAATGCTCCGTGGCTGTAGTCTGATGGACTGTTCCCATCTGCCTTATGAAATCCAGCAAGAATGTTAGCAGCATCTTTGTGATCCCTAGGCGGGCGGCGTGGGGTGGTGAAGCTGATGTGGAGGCTTCAGGATGGAAAGGACTTGTCTCGGTAACTGACGGATTGCTCCTCCTTGCTTGGCATGTTGGCAGACGCTCTCCTCAGCACATGAATCAGCACAGCTTGGATTAAGCTTTACAACTAACAGCACGCTAGATGGCAGATAGTTCACAGTTAAAGATAATGCTTTGATTTACATGAGTATACCAAGTAGTACCCTCCTCTTGTATTCACTTCTTCTATTTTCTTAGAATCCTTGCAACTAATGATCATTTCTGTCCTCCTGTCCCCCCGCCTATGTTTCTCCTTCTTCCAGCCTCCCCAAAAGGGATGGAGGCTCAACATACTGCAGGACTCCAACAAAGAAGAAATAACAAATTAATTAAATGAACAGTCAGCAAATCTACCAGGACTCTCAGACATCAGACACCCTAGAGAAAAGGGGGGATGGGTGGCCAGCGTCTATAGAGGTTGCCCTTTATAAAGTCCTGGCTTGTAGTAGCTTACATCGTTACTACACTGTTGGATGACTCCTTCATGGATGTTTTAAACTTTGACATGACATTGCCTGGGAAGTCTTGCTCTATTATTCAGCATTGAACTCAAGAAGGGAATGAGTGAAATCAAGTCTGTGTAGAAATCCCACGTCTATCTGGAAACTTATAAAGGAAAATGTGATCTTGTTGTCCTAAAGCCAATAATATCTTAGAGTCAGAATGATCCCTTTGAACATCAGTTCTGAAGAAAAATTCTCACTGATAGCTTGAGATCTCTCAATTTTAAGATCTTTGCATATCATAAAGGATCATGGAACGTATTTGTTAAAATATACACATTTAAGATGAATAGACACATTAAGAGGGCACATGAAACACTTTTTCAAGTGATATTGCCCCTTTAAAAGGTGTGTTTTACTTCTCGTGATGTTAGGGGCAACAGGGCACCTTAGAAGCCTTAAGAGAAAGATAATATAATCCAGACAGCAATGGTGTTGGTATTTTTGGTTTGTGTACCTGTGTGTCCATGTATGTGTTTGTGTGTGTGTGTGTGTGTGTGTGTGTGTGTGTGTGTGTATGTCCCCCATGTGGGTACAGTTTCAAGGCATGTACAATAAGCATGGAGTCGTATTGGTGAGGACTCACCTCCTGAAGATATGCTTGTTGCATTATGACATATGTAAACTATTCTTTAGATAAATGCATTCACTCTTTAATAAAAATATGTTTGTGTTAATAAAGCCCGGGTGTTTCATACTTTATATGAACTTCCCCTTTTTTAAGCGATGAAAATTTGATGTGTAAAATAAACCAAACTTGGTAAACAGGGCAAGTTTATCTTTTTGTTTTTTAAATTGATCGTAGATAGGGTATTCTTTGTGTTTACAGATCTTTTTAGATCTGTAGATTTGCCTTTCATAGCTGGCTGCCCCTTAATTTAGGTAATAATGTTATTAACAGTGTTGATCTTTTTTTCTTAATGGATGCACTGATTTCAGAGGAGAATGCTTGTAATCAACTGCTATTTAAAACCTCTTGTGCATCTTTGTAGAACCCTACCATGAGCTCTCTGCCAACACAAATTCCCAAACAAGCCAAATTAAGTAACATCTAGGTTTAATGGGATTCCTGTGTTCTTAGGTGGCCCCAAGGGGGAACCAGGAGGCCATGATGCAACCACAGGAGGAAGGAAAAGGGACCACATGTTCCTCTTTTGGGAGTTCACTTAAATACTCTGTGGGAGTGGTCCCCCTGCTGGGATTCGGAGTCCAGATCAATACAACTCTCAGGCTCAGGGCTGGGGTCTATGCTTCGAACTTAACACCATCCTGAATTCCTGAAAGGTAAGCCAAGCATGAATCCTTTGGAGAATGGATACTAATGTCTCCCCAGGCCATGAGATCTCAGAATGGGCCACATTAATACAGCAAAGAAGCTGGCTGCGGAGAAATGTCCTTCATAGAATCGGGAACGAACAGAAACAAGGCTTTGAAGGAGAAAATGTGAGTGCCTGCTGAACAGATGGGATCAAGTGTGGATTACTCTCATCCTGCTTGGAATGGCGCTTCTCAAGTGTTGCGGTTCTCCCAAGTTCATGTTCACACTCTTGTCCTGGAATTTAAAAGGAATGAAAGAGTGAAGAAGGGAGGGAAAGGTGGAAACAAGAGAGAAGGGGAGAGAGGAAGTAGGAAGGAAAGTGGAAAGGAAAGTAAGAATGAGAAGGAAAAGAAAAAGGAAAGAACCCAGCCATAACATCTGAAAACAATATCCCCTTCCTTTCTCAGTAATCGGCCATCAGAATCCCTGTATACAAAAGGGTAATTCATTACAAAAGAGTATTGCTAGAATTCTGTCTTGAGTGCAAAGCATAATATGCTATGTGAGTGGCTGGGATAATATCAGCATGACGATTCTGGTGAGAAGACAGTTAAGTAATTGAAAGATAATAATATAATGTTATTTTTGAAAAAGCTAATGAAATCTTCTAGACTTCATTGTCACCCTCTCAAATGAGCCTGCCTTTCTTCCTGTTCTAAGTGTTTCCTGTACCCTTCTGTACCACAGTCTCTGCTAGCAGCCACAGGCATTAACTCCCACTCAAGTCCAGCAGACACACTGGTAATACGGGGATGGGGGGAGGGGTACATTAAAATCCTAGATCTTCTGTATCCTTGGCCAAGGGTGAGCCAGGACCTTTACTGAGATCCCCCTGAGGGGTACAAGGTTGTTACTGTGTTCAGGCAAGATCCTTCTTCTCTGGGTTTCATTTCTTAGTGAAACCTAGCTTATTTTAAGTTAGAATATTAAAACATTCTAAATAAACTTTTTTCGTATTTATTTATTTATTTTGCTATTCGTTTTTGAAGTGCTTAACAGAGGCAGAATTTTAAAAGCCAAGGTCCAAGAGATTTTGCTGAAGCACAAATAGCATAAAATCTTGATCAAGTTATTTTCCTGGCTGTGGACAATGGAGAAAATTCTCTGGTTAGCCTACATAAGATGGCCCTTTGAGTTTGTTTTCACTAGGACATACTAAAACAGAGACCTGAGGAGAAGAGTCAGCAGTTAAGAGTGATTGCTAATCATGCAAAGGACCCAAGTTTCGTTGCCAGACCCCGTATCTTATGCGTCACAAACACATATAACTGAACTTGCCATGGGATCTGATACCCTGGTATGGCGTCTATGGGCACTAAATGCACATAAAATAATGTAAACCCTAAATAATAACAACAAACGCTTTAAAGCTAGGCTTTCTGCTACAGGATTTTGTATGTTATTCACTATGGTTTCCAACCACACATTTATTTATATAATTATGCAAATGTCTATTTAAATGTCTTGTGGGTTATCTTTAAGATGGTGGAAATGGTCTTTTTGTTGTTATTGTTCATGTTTTATCTCCACTTCTATGGCAGACGCCAGGAGAACCTAATTAAGTTTGTTAGAGGGCAGCCAAATGGATGGAAGGATGCATAGGTGGAGGGATTAATCACCATGTCCTGGATTCACAGCTTTGAGGGTAAAACCCTGGAAGGATGGAAGGCTCCCTAGAGTTTTCTTTTCCCAGTTGCCTCAAAGATGTGTAAACTGCTTTTTACTTAAGCATTGGCTCTTGCCTAATTGCGGAAATAAATTGAGGATGTATGTAGAGATGGGGAGAAAAATAATGTTAGATGAACCATACAGCTGAAATATAATATGCATGACCCAAGGAAACAGACAGATAAGACAGTACATGGTATCTGTGCCTAGCAGATTAGAGAACACTGGTCGTGTAGTGGCTTCTGCTGGTTGCTGTGATTTCTGTCAATGGGATGGTGAAGGAGGACACCTTGCCATTCTCAGTGTGGCACCTAGGGATTCAGCTGGCTCACAAGATCATATTATAGACACATTTTATTTCCTTCTGTCCCTTAATGGATTTTCTCTATTTCCTTCTGCTATCTATACTCCCTGCTTCCTAACTTCTGCCTTAACTCTCTGTAGTTTACATCCCAGGCTTCTTCACATGCTCCATGGTTCATGGTCCACTAATGCGAAGGTTGACACTAGTTAGGAAACCACATGCATTAGTTATTTTTTGGAGCTGTATACCCTGGTGGGCTTCTTGTCACCCTGATGCAAGTTAGCTTGGATCACCTGGGAAGAGACAGCCTCAGCTGAGCAAATGCCTCCATCAGATTGGCCTGGGTGCAGTTTTGTGGGGACAGTTTCTTGATTAATGATTGTTGTGGGTGAGGCGAGCCCATTGTGAGCAGTGCCACCCCCTGGAGAGTTGATCCTGGGTTGGTTAAGAAATCAGGTTGAGCGAGCCTTGGAAATTAAGCCAGTAAGCAATATTCTTCTGTGACTTTTGCCTCAGTTTCTGCCTTGAGTTCCTGCCCTGGCTTCCCTCAAAGATGGGCTGTGAGATGGAAACATAGCCAAATAAACTCTTTCTGTGTCAAGTTCTTCTGGGAAGAATATTTTATCAGAGCAACGTAAGGCAAGCTAATACACTGTAATAAAACATTCCGACAAGAGCAACTTAGACCAGAAAAGGAGTTTATTTTGCTTATGGTTCCAGGAATAGAATCCATCAAATCAGGGAAGGCATGGCAGGAGAAACACCGGGATAGGAGAAAGCAGCACTCAAGAAGCAGAGTGAAAGGGCAGGGGTGGGGCAAGAAATCCCCCTCTCCCCCAGGAAGGCTCCACCTCCGGAAGGTTTCATCACCTCCCTAGTCAGTTTCACCAACTGAGGACCAACTGTTTAAAGACACAGGTCCATGGGGGACATTTCTCATTCAGACCACAACATTACAGATTATCTCCAGTTTTTCTTACTTAGGTTTTTAGTCAGATGGTGCTGATTTCACACACAACTTAATATTTGTTAAGGATTTCCAAAGTGAGCTCTTCCCATCTCCCAGAAGATACTGGCCTAATTTTAAGTGAAGATGAACTTTTATGCTATGAGGAGCAACTCCCAAATTCTTATTGATACTCAGCAATTTCTGAGCGATGCCAAAGTCTGACTCTTGGAACAACTTCATGGAGTATATTGTTCAGTAAAATAAAGCACTCTTTATTTTATTTAAGAGTTGTCAGGTGACAATAGTCTCCACTACAAGATATGTATGGTGTAGTGTAGAATACCAGACTTAATAATAAAACCAACTGAAAGAACACAAACCAACTGCCCAGGGACAAAAATCTAAGCCATCCCAATATGGATAGTTAAAAATAAAACACACTTGTTGAAAATAAATCTAAGACCTGGTCTTGGACTATTTGAGCAAAGCTGGTGTTTGCAAAGAGATTTGGGGGTGTTTATTGTGGAGTTTGCCAACAAAAATCATCTGGGGTTTCTGTATACTTTGCCAAAATTGAGTCCAATAAGAATATGAACCAATTTTGCTTTGAAAATTTGTTTTGCAAACATTCTCATATTCGGCCTAAATCTTCCCTGCCTTGACTTGGGGTATACTATTAGACGTTGCTCACATGCCCAGAAAATGGAATTTGGGAAATCTGCATGCAAAACACAAAACAAACACTGAAAATGACTGAGCTCCCCCATTTCTCACAGATGCAGAGCCAGCGGTGGAAATAACTGAAATGACACTGGTTTTCTCTGCTCAACAGACTTTGTAGTCTTCTCTTTGTTCATAGACTATTTTTTTCCTTAAACTATCAAGATGCTAAATCAATCTATAGCATTTTAAGTAAGTCAGTCTCTTACTGACATATATGCCTCAATTATGACAATCTTTGTCAGTGGTGTGATTTATATTTCAAAATCAATATTGTGAACTTTTTCGGGTTAGCATGAGCTTGGGATCACATTGGCCCAATGCTGATTTAAATAACCAACTCTATTTTAATAGCACGGGCCTTCTAGGGTTGACTCCACTTAGCTTAGGCCCTATACAAAAGTCTTTAGTAAATGGAGCCAAGCAGGGATGTTAAAACAGTTTAAGCACCTAGGGCTGGCGCTAAAGGAGGTGGCAGTTTATAGATGAGGGACCCATTTTGTGTCCACTAGCATGCACAGGGAACTTTCTGCCCATTGAGTCTGCTTTTTCACATTTCACCTTCAAAACAGCAGCTCTGCATGCTTCCTGCATCCTGGTTCATGGGGAGGGGAAGTGGTTGATACCGGAGCTATTCCTCTTGAGGGTGATCACTTGCTGATCTTTCCTCTTATCTAATTGCCAGTTATCAACCCCCACAACCACTTCTTAAAGAGTTGGGG